ATACATACATACATACATACATACATACATACATACATACATACATACATACATACATACATACATACATACATACATACATACATACATACATACATACATACATACATACATACATTGGCTTTCTAGAATGGACCTACGTATTCTAGTTATGATGCTATGTTAAGAATCAGGATTTCAGTCTCTGTGTTGCAAACAATTCAATGGTAAAAACCATATACAGAGGGTATGTAAGCACTTTAAATGAATTATATGTATCAGATAAAGCCAGCTAACTAGCTTGAACTGAGCTTCACAAAAGTTTTCAAACTGAGAAACAGTTCTTACTTCTTCATATAAGAAATCCAAGACTCCTTCAAGATTTTCAATGCTGTCAAAAAGGAAAGCCTCCTATTGAAAGGGAAAAAATTATGTCAGAGGACAGATAATGAATTTGTGGTTATCACTTTTTCCACAGTGAAAGAAATCAAAATAACACTTTATACCCTTATCGTACTCTTGCAAAAATGATATATAGATTACAATCTCTGTCTCACCTATAAAAATTAAAATGAGAAGAGAAATTGCCCATTAAGTACCCTACCGCCATCCTGATTTCGTGAGCATAATTAGCTAGCAAAACAAGGACAAAGCTCTGTAATACTGTTCCTGGATCATAACAGATTCTTTTTACAGCTATCCAGAAGCTGCTGGATCTAATGTCAGTGGTGGCAGTGAATCCAGTCTGGGTTTAATTCAGACTTTACAGGTTCTGTCCGTGGTGTTGAACCTCATCCTCAAAATAAATTCAGTATGTTTATTGAATTTATTTAAAGTTCAGACTAAAACCAGGAGCAGATTTGTCTAGCTATTAGTCCCCCCCCTCATCTTGTACCTGTATTGTTCATCCTGTTGATGGGATGTATAATAGACAAACATATCCGAAAACACGTTTGATGTGGAGTCATGCTGCAAATAATTCCTAGCTGAATAAAATTCCTTGCAGTTTCATGGCCTCATGCTGCAACCCGACAAATAGCCAAGGGTCCTTTCTATTCTTTACAATATTATCTTGGCCTCCCACCCTCGTGATTGACATTTAGGCTATCTGGAGCCTTGGACAGAATACAATCTTATTCCTTCCAAAGAAAGAAGTTACTAATTAAAAGCACCATTTTTTTTGCCTGACTGTCCCAGTTATACTGATGCTGCAGTTATATTTTAAATTCTAAATAGTGCCACAAATCAGGGTTGTGAAAAGAGATGAGAGAATAAAAGAGAAAAGACAAGAATATAAGTAGTTGCCCAGAATGTTGTCTGGATTCTTTGTGAAAAGTAAATGTGTCAAGGGTGTCATTGCCAGAACAAAGAACTTGCATGAGAGACAGAATTAGTATTAGGCCATTTATAGATAGCAGAAGGCAGATTGCCTTGATAGAGAACTAAAATACAGCTGTCAACTCAGATGTGAGAATTTGTGTGCATCTTTTTTCTTTAAATGGTCCTATATTGGCCTCCAATGGGAGAACCCACATAGAACATTTAGATTCCTGTATCACCGCTATTTCATCATCACATGGTGGGTAAAGAATTAAATGTTATCTTGGCTTTTTCAGACCTAATCACTAGATGCAGTAGTGGTGGTAGTGGTAGTAAGTGATGCTGATGCTGATTCTATCGAATACCTCTGTGTCACAAACTAACCCTATAGCCACTGCTGAAATTATGAATCATGGCATGGAACGCATGATTTAGAATGTATGTCACCATTCAGCAATGGCAAGGAAATAGACTGCACCAATCAACTGGTCACAGCAGATCACACTTCACCCAGGAAAGCTTGCTCTTCTGAGCAAACCCTGCCCAACATCCTATGACATCTGCATCTATGGATCAATTGGCCTCCAATTTACATCTGACAACTTTTTATAACTTTAATATATTATATCCTAATTCCAAATGTCCACACTCATCTGGGAATAAGTTCCATTGAGTTCGAAGGAGCATATGGAAATGTATAGGGTTGTGTTGTACTTATTGCTACCATTCCTGAATCCTAGACTAGGTTTGGCCAGACCAGGAATGTCACCCTATACAACTGAAATCAGGACAAGGCCCTTCATGCAGACAAAAGCAGCTGGCACCCATTGTGGTAGGGAGGTAGAAAGCATGATAGCTTCTAGTGGGTAGAGCCAGAGATGACAATCTGTTAAAATCTGCTTTTCTGTCTGCCTGCATCTCCAAAGACTCACATGGACTATGGCAAAGCTGGGATCAGCAGAAAAATAACACAGGCAGGGCACTGGGTTTTTGTCACTGGTAAGGAGGCAAATAGTCATGGACTAGTTAAGCATAGCTTAAGCCTAGGGGCTGGGGCATGACCTATTTGCCCAATTAGACTAGCTGTAAGCTGGCTATCATAGTACCTGTTCTCTTGGTCCTCTTTCCTCGATCATTTCATTTACCTACTAGAAATGCAGCTCCTTATTTTTGTTCAGCAGAAGGGTGTTTCCATATCTAATTGTCTGAGAACTGGGTTCTTAGACATTGTGGGGTGGGGGTGAATGTTTCCTTTCAAATATTTATACATGGTTATCACCTCTGCAGACTTCAAACAGTCATTTTGTAGTGAGTTGATTAAAGCCCTAAGGAAAGAATGTTGCAGAGCATAGCATTTAGGGACATAAAATAAAATAAAATAAAATAAAACAATTTGGTGCAGTACAAATGCCAAAGGGCAAGGAAAAAGAAAAAAGGATTTTTTTATGGACCACTTGCAGAAGACGTAGATAGTGCTAGTGGCAGGGAGAAAATTAGACCACAGAGACAAAAATTGCATACATTTCATTTTGTTTGATCTACACTCAAACTATGCATGCTTGAAATTGATTCAGGGCAATGAAAAAACAGAAATATTTGAAAGACTGTGCAAAGGAAAAGAGTTCCCTCCAAATATTGTAACTGTGCTGTACAATAAAGGACTGTACTGTATATAGAAATGTCGGCAAGCAGGCTTACAAGTGTAAAATTATAAATGTAGGCATCTAAGGGGTGGATGCAAACAACCATTCTAACATGGTCACGGAACTTTTTCTTTATTGTATGAGTTTCATATGTATTTATAAGAATAACCTGCATTTTCCTCTCCACAAGGAAAATTTAAAATAACCTTTTGCTTCCCACAGGAAAAAAGTATTTCTACAGAGATAAAAAATTAAATTGATCATTAAGTACCAGAGATGACTTGATGATATTGTCATCCTACTCATTCCTACAGATATGCAGTTAACATGAGTATCGGCTGTTTGTGTGTTGTATGTGTTATGGCAATGCTTTGTGGTTGGTTGGTTGGTTTTCTAAAATCAGAAAACTGCTGGATAGCTCAGTGGAAACATTCCAGCAAGGACCAGGGTTCAACTGTATTTGTCACCATAATCTGACAGTAGATTTAAAAAAAAAACAGGCAAATTCTCATGGGAAGAAGTGATTCATCAAATACTTTGGTCCTCACCTATTAATGGCTTTAAAGCACATTTACTCAAGGGAAGACGAGCAATCAAAGGGCTATATGATCTCCACTCTAGGCACTGGTGAAAAATTTTGCAGTAGCATTCTTCACCAGTAGAATTTTGTAACTGGTCTTCAAGAACAGTAGTGCACTGCAGAAGTCCAATGAAGTATAAATAGTGTGTGTATTGTTGTGACCAAGTCTGGGCATGCCAGGAAGAGATGCCACTGGAGCTCTACCACTCAAAACAGATCCACAGGTCCCCGTGGAATAAGTCAATGCATAACAGACATATGAGGAATATCAGAAGATCATCTGAACCTCAAAACATCTAGTGGCCCAAAGGTTCTCCATCTCTACCATTCAGCCTGAGAACCACGTCTAGTTTAAAGAAGTTTTCAAGGAATTGGAAAGTGAGGTTGAAGGCAAAAGCAGAGATCATACATTCTAGCAGATTTTAGTTAGTAAAAGTTAGTGAGTGAGCCTCAGGAGAGACATTTCAACCTTTTAGAAAGTGGGGAAAAACTATACAAATTTGAGAAACAACCAAATGATACTATCATCAAGAATGGCGAATGGCGTTTTAGGGAACCCCAAAGGGCTGGATTGGAATCTCAGAATAGCTGGATTTGACCTTTATATAAGACAGTATTTTCAGGTAGGAATTGACATTGACATAATTCCTTGCCTCAGGTTGTCTGGTGAATTCCATTTGAAGTACTGTACTAGTTTCAATTAAGACATTGGTTTAATTGCTTTTTACTATTGCAATAATTCATTGGAATTTTCAGCTTCTAGTATTTTCCATTTTAATACTGTAAGATGCCTTGCGTCCTCTTGGGGAGAAAGACAGAGTAAAGATAACAAAAATAAATGAGAAATAAATGTAAAGATTTCCTGCCTCACAAATCATATTCTCAAGCACTATTACTCACAGGTGTAGTGCTACAGCTGCAAGTGCAGGTACTTAATAATGACATCTTTCATAAGTAGCTCTCCATCCATAAAGAGAGTCCAAAAATGCAAGCAGTTGGATTAGTTTGCATGGACATATAAGAAGCATGTCTTTTGTGGTGTTAATAGCTTTTTATCGCTCATTCAGGACCAAACAACCTTCATATCCTTTGCAAGAAGGATAGTTTGCAACAATACAGCATTCCTGGGAAACTCAATTTCTCTCCTAGTTGTTGTGAGGATTACAGCTCAGAGAGAAAAAGGAAAATTGAGGATGGGGAGCACAGAGGGTAGATGATGTTACACTTTACGCTACTCAGAAAGTCTCGGGACCTCAACCTTATGAGCTCTGGTTCCACTATCCCAGTGGTTATACCACAGTGGTGGTTGTTAATCTTACACAGTACTAGCTAGCTAACACAGTACAAGGAGAAATGAACCAAGGCACATTACAGTTTTTCCACAGAAAAGTACAGTACCTGTATGAGGAAAGACGTTAATTTTTTTTAAAGGTCTTGTACATTGTCAGAATACTGACACCCAAAATCACATTACAGTTTTTCCACAGAAAAGTACAATATGAGGAAAGACGTTAATTTTTTTAAAGGTACATTGTCAGAATACTGACACCCAAAAACAAGAACATTAAAGTTTCATGATTTCATTTATATTTTAGAATCCAATTCCTTGGTCATTTCCCCAATTCAAAACATGATCTACTTACCTGCAACCCAGAGAAGTAGGAAGGACATGGGAGGAAAATTGTGATTAGCTTCCAGTCATTTTGGTAGTCTATCCACTGGGAGAAAGCAGCACAAGAGAAAACAGCTGTCACATGTCAGATTAATGATGGGGTAAGAATCAAGCTGCCTGCAATTCCTTCCTCTCTTTATCAGTCCCCCGTCTTTCAGAGCTACCAGACATTTGCCCTGAACACTTCTGATTTGCACAGCTTTCCTAATTAGGAAAACCTATTCCTGTGACAGTTGCACAGTGACATTCAACTCTGTGGCAAACTCAAATTGACTGTGTTGGCAGTATTAATACTGACTGGCACAATCCTGTTGTGAGAGATGTGGATACTACATAACTGGTGTCAGAAAATAACTAAAATAAACTACCCATTCTAGGCCTTGAATCCTCCATGTAGTGCAACTGATAATCAGGTTTGCATTAACTGTTAGGGCTGTGTTGATTAATGCATTAGATCAAATGACCCATGGAGTCCCTTCCAGCCCTATCATCCCCCCAATAGACAGACACACACAAGTTGGTAAGCTATCTGTGGGGCAACTTTCACATAGTAAGTTGGAAGGGGATTGGATGAGATGACCCTTGGAGTCCCTTCCAGCGCTATGATTCTGTGATTCTCAATAACTGTTATCTATCTATCTATCTATCTATCTATCTATCTATCTATCTATCTATCTATCTATCTATCTATCTATCTATCTATCTATCTATCTATCTATCTATCTATCTATCTATCTATCTATCTATCTGCCCACCCGCCCGCCTGCTTGTTTGTTTGTTTGTTTGACATTTTTTTATCACTCATCGTGCTTCCAGGGCTATTCTGGCCAGTTTATAATTGAAAAACAGATAAACAATAATAGAAGAGAGTAAACACAATAACAATCAAAATCAAATGTAAACACCAACTGAACATACACTGACAAAGTAAAAAACTAAAAATAATATGATAGTTTAAAGGTAAAATGGCCTTTATATTGTTGTGCCCTCATCTTGAGAATTTGGAAAATTTCTCTTCATAGGCACAATAATTCAAGAATATCCTCACCATGCAGGAAAGTAAAGTGTTCTGAACTTCAGACGGCAGCTTGAGATGGGTGGGTAGGTGGGAAGAGACAAAGGAAGAAACCAGGGTCTGAATGATGCAGGAAGAGTTTTTACTATGTAGGTACCATTTGGGCTCTACAATGGGCAGAAAAATGTTTCTGGCTGGCACCAAGATGGTTTAATATTCAAAAACCTATTACAAACATAAAACCTCATTTGGCAACAGCTGCATACTATTCTGTAGTGTTAATACACACCTGGCTCTCTTTCATACTGTTCACAGTTTCTTTAGTTTGGCTTAAGAGATCTCTGTACAGAAACAGGAAAGAAAATCTATCAAGCAGAGAAGTCTTATTTCTCTACATGCATAAAGCTGAAATTCTACCTGGATTAAAATCCGTAACAACCCTCCTTCTTGTATTGTTTCCAGCCCAGGCACAATAAAGATCTTTTATTGAAGCACATAAAGATTCTCTGCTAAAGTGTGTTTTTCAGAATTTCAGCAACCAAGAAGAATGGGGTTTGGCAGGATGCCCTGTGATCAGGAGGGGGGGGGAATTCAGCTCTCAGAAGAGCATTTTGCCATTCTCAGTGGCTAGCCAACACACACACACACACACACACACACACACAAACAGGGTATTTTAGCAGTAAAGTATCCTACGACACTTTGGTTTCTGAGATCCTTTATGAAGATGAACAAGTTTATCATTACACGAATTTACATGGACCATAGCCCATTTTATCAGATGCACATAATGTTAACCAAACATCCAGACAGAAATTCCTTACACATGGCTGGCGATGGATCATAGGGGTCATGTGAGGTCAGAGGGAAATTAAATGGAAAAACTGTGTTAATAATGTTGGTCATTCCCCAAGCAGGTGCTCACAAAACAAACTTTCTGGTACTCCGTAAGCAAGACAGCCAACATATGTGGCATGAGAAGAACACATGGTCTCAGTTTAAAGTCTAGAAAACGGACTGGAATATAATCTGGTGCTACTTAAACAGGTCCTATGCTGACATTACAAAAAACCTTCAATATCCATATTAGTGTAATGTTTTTATTTGGCTGACCAAAATGACACAAAAATTCTCAAGGTTTCTTTCATTGACCCTAAGGTTAGCCCAGTAAAGGGATTACACTAAACTGATCTTTAGAATTCACTGTGAGTTGATAGGCTCGTTCATCTATTGCAGAAACAACTGGCCTGAAGTCTGTGAAAGCTTATGCCAAATAAACCTGTTGGTCTTTAAGAAGCTACAAGCTGCTTTGCTGTTTCTGGAAGTTATCTCTTGTGTACTTCATCACTGTCTTGCAGGTAAACAAGAAACAGCCAAGCAGATCAGAAGAGAACTTACATGGTTCCGCTTCCTGATATGGTACTGCTGTTTCCCAGAGAAAAGTAATACTTCACGGAAGGATTAAACCCGCTAACAATATCTGAAAGACATACATTTGACTCAATAATTTTGCAAGTGTCTGTGTGCTGCCAAACTTGACAATCATCATCCTTCCCCAATGTCTTAGTCTTAGGAAGAAGCAAGAGAGAGGGGACTTACTGTGGGACAAAATAACACATAATACTGAATGTCTTAGTCTTAGGAAGAAGCAAGAGAAAGGGGACTTACTGTGGGACAAAATAGCACATAATATTAATAATGACATGGTTGCTGTTAATGTTGTTGCTTCTCAAATATTCTGTCACAAGTTGAATGTGAGTCATCAAGGAGATGAGAATACAAAAACTTGATAATGTGCATTAATAAGAGAATCCATGTTTCAAAGTTAAAGGAATAAGTAAACCCACTTCATGGCACGATACTGTGAACTCTTCTGGAGTATTATGTCTGGCTCTAGGTATTGCACTCCAATTATCACATAAGAAAGTGGAACATATTCAGGAGAGGGTGACAGAAATGATTGGGGAAACTGAAATTCAAATAAGGAAAGATTGAAACATGGGTTTATGGCGAACTGCAGACAAAATGGGGAGCATGGCAGTATTCTTAAGGGCAAATACATCTTTGCTCCTGCCTCAGAAGGAAGATGGGTTTTACAGAGTGGTGGATTTTGCATGAACTGTGAAAGCAAAACTGTGAAACCAGCAGCATATTTTGAAATAGTTGGCTTTCGAATCATGGTCTTCCAAGAACTCTTTTTCAAGAGTTTTAAAACTATAAAACATACCTTTTAGTGTTGTCATACTTCCTTGGACAAGATCACTCTCTGCGCTACAAATTGAAACATTAATTAATTATTTGTTTTCATAGGCCAAATAACCATAGAGCCCAAAACAAATGTGTGCATACAATGGGGTCTTGACTTGAGAACTTAATCCGTATTGGAAGGCGGTTCTCAAGTCAAAAAGTCTGTAAGTCAAGTCTCCATTGACCTACAGTGCATTGAAAACCGATTAATCCCGTAACAGGCCATTTTTGTTCCATTTTGGTTTTTTTCTGGTCTGTAAGTCAATTCTCAGGCTGCAAGTCAAACCTAAATTTTGCGGCCAGAGAAGTCTGTAACTCAAAAAGTCTGTAAATCAAGCCGTCTGTAAGTCAAGGGTCCACTGTATCAGATCTCATTTCTTCTGGACTTCCCTTGCTGTCCTAACTTAAATGAGACACTACAAGCATCTTTTGAAAAAAGCCCAGAGTTTCAGAATGATACAGCTCGCAATGTGAGCATAGCAAAGCACAATTCATGTAAATAATAAAACGCACACAAACATTTTTCTTAGATCTAGCCCTCACATCCCTAAGGAACATGAATGCATTATAATGTTGAAGAAAATCATTCTAAAGAAGCTCCACTTTTATTTTCCACTAGCTTCTAAAATCCTTAGCTCTATTATTCATTATAGCAATCTATATAAGAACAGCCACTTGACTCATTTGGGTGAACAAAAATCATTTCCAGTGGAGCATCTGGGAGCCCAAAAGCTTCCATTCTCCATCTAGTAATCCCATGTCCCATAGGGCTCCCCAGAGAAGACTTCCCATTGCCCACTCCTCATTTTTCTACTCACAGCCATTCTCACCACAAGCAATTCTTCCCCCTTGAAAGAGGCCACTGAACTACCTACTATCACATGAATTTGCTGTGTTATGTAGTATGGACTTAAACCTCCTGATTTTTCTGGGATTTCTCTGTTGCTGCTTCCAGAGCCTGGAATCCCCTCCCACAGGAAGCCAGGCTGGCCTCATCTTTGCTATCCTTCTCAAGCAGGCAAAGAAAGACCTTTCTCCTCAGTCAGGCTTTTCCTCAGTAACTGGCAGTCTGAGAAGGGTTTTTGAAATCATATTGTGGTGCTTTGTTGCTTTTAAATGTGTTTTTAGTATTGATTTTATTTACCATTTTAATATGCTTGTTTAATTCTTTTAAAATATTTTTATATTTACTATTCTTAGCTTTTAAATATTGTCCTTTTAATGTTGTAAGGAGGGAGAAAGGCAGGGTAAAAATACTTTGAATTAATTAATTAATTCGTCCAGTTTGATTAATTAATTAATGTCCTTGGATTTTATTGTCTTTACCATGCTATATAATAAGTTAAGAAGTAAAATTCAGCTACTGTTTTTGTATCAATCTGAAACAGGTCCATTACCTGAAACTATTGATGCAAGAAACAGTTAAAGCTAGTGGCCATGTGAACATAATATAAGAGCATGCTATATCTCACTGGTTCTTAACCTTGGGTTACTCAGGAGTTTTGGACTGCAACTCCCAGAAGCCTTCACCACCAGCTGTCCTGACTGGGGTTTCTGGGAGTTGCAGTTCAAAAGCACCCGAGTAACAAAGGTTAAGAACCACTGCTATATCTGACTAAAGGTCCACATATGTAGTCCAGCATTCTGGTTCCACTGTAGCCGAACAGATGCCTTATAGGAAGTCCACAAATAGGATCTGAGGATTTCAGCGCCCCTGCTCTAGTTCCCCAGTAACTGCCCTAAACAGGATCCACTGTAAGTGGTGGCATACAGACATCATAAGTAGTAACTGCATCCTAGATCAATTTATCTAAACTCCTTTTACAGCAGTTCCAGTTTGACGGTCATAAACACTTTGTATGGTGATAAGTCCTTTGGTGTTGACTTTATAAAGAAATACACAGAGAAGGCTGTAAGTATTTTTGACAACCATTTAACTCCAGCCCATCAAAATTCCACTAGGACGGGTACTGTGGTGTAGTGGATAGAGTGCTGGGCTAAAGCTCAGGAGACCTGGGTTCCAATCCCAGCTTGGCAAGAAAAATCTCTGAAATATAGCCATGATAAACTACTCTTGGACCATCTCACATGCCTCCAAAGTCCTCCTATGGTCACCCAAAATCAGAACTTACTGTACGTAACAACAACATGCTATGATATAGAAACTGCATTATGCCAGTTGCATGCCAGATGTATGTGTAGCCTGCAATTGCAGCTAATGCAAGCTCTAAGCAAATATTTTACCTAAACTGAACATATGATGTGATTGTATGCCACCCTTGACTAAAACTTAAAATTATTATTATTACGTGCTGTCAGGCCAATTCTGGCCTATGGTGACTTTCCAGGGTTTTCAAGATACAGAGTGCTCAGTACAGGCTTGCCATTCCTTTCTTCTGGGGGCACTCTGGGACTGTATGGTGTGCCCAAGGTTACCTAGGCTGGCTCTTTTTCCAAACAAAGAAAATTGCAAATTAAGAGGATGTCATAATCTTCTTATGAAATTCAACTATAAGACCAGCTCACCCATTGGACTGGTGATATGCTTGGGTACAAAGTAGAGAGGAACCAGCCCAGTCATGGTGCCCCTTGTATACTAACTCCTGCCTCAGTCAAGCATTTTTTTATTTTTTATTTTTTGCAGCTGGTAGAATGAGTTAAGCAGATGGCAAGACTGAACTACACCTCTGCAGCAGACAATAAACATGCTTTATGAACACAGTGAAAAGTAGTACCTCAGGAGATAGTCTGGCTGGTCTACCCTAGAATCTCCAATCTGAAGAAGGAAAATTAGATATGACAGTAATAAATACACAAAAACAACAACTGGTCTTGTCAATATCTGACACATGCAAAGTGAAACAGTGATGGTCATCCTATAACCTTTGGACTGTCTCTGTTCTCCATGTAGACAGCCAAAGGGCAACCCTCTGTGGCCACTTGTGCAGATGTGTGGACAGAGAAGAAAGAACACCGTGTCACTTGAGAAGCCAGAAGGCTGAGCTGTATATGAAGGACTGCCAAGTCCAGGAATTTTAAGATCTTGTGCAGCTATGCTGGCATAAGTGAAGTGCCATGTTATCATGCAAGGCTTTTCCTGTTCTGTTTTTAGCATTGGGGGATGTTTATTATCTCTTCAAAGCTTTGTTATTACCAGGCAGCCCAATGAGGACACATCCACAATTCCTTCATCTATGTGGCAAACCACTGTGGTGTAGTGGTGGATGGAGCCTTGCCATGAGAGATGCAGATTCTCATCCCCAGTGAGCCTTTAGATGCACTGGATGACCCTGGGCTAGTCCTACTCTCTTTTAGCCAGACCTCACAGTATCATTCTAAGGAGAAAGTGGGGCAGAGCACAGCCATTATTGTTGCCTCAAACTCTATAGAGAAAAAAGGGTGGGATGTTAATATAACAATGTAAGTATTCAGAAATGCATCATGCTCCTTGATGTGAAGTTTCTGATACTAATTGGCTGAGTTGAGGTGGCAGCTTGAAATGTTTAGCTTCTTGAGGAACCAGAAGTTTGCAGATTATATTATAGAGAGAAGATGACATTGTCAGTTTCGTTGTAGCTGAAACCTCTCACATGAGGTGGGGAGCAGAAGAGAATGTAGGGACTGGGTCTCCAAAGGCAAGAGGCCTGAGGGAATGGCACGAGGGAGCCAGTGGACTAAAAGGGCTATGAGAGAACAGATAAACAAGGATGAGTCTTGAGAAAGAAGGTAGTAATGCATATTGGGAAGAGAATGGATTCCAAAGAAAATCACAGTGTTTAAGCACTAAAGTTATTGTGCACTACACAGTGAATGGTGGCAGAAGCACTAGTAAGGTAAAGAAAGGAGACCAAGTAGATTGTCTCCTGAAAACAGTAAGTGATGCAGATGAGAATATAAAGACAAGGGAAACTGAGGAGAAAGAAAACCATGAGGAAATCATCAATATTGTTTGGAAACAAGATGGGTTTTGGTAGGTGGATTTTGCCAATTATGGGCTCTTTGATTCTCACAGCATTGTGAAGGGGAAGGGGGCATGGGGGTCAAAGAACTGTAAATGGTGCTGATGGTAATTCTCAGTTTGAACTGAACAGTTACAGACTTTTGATCAATACATGATGAAAGCACTGAGAATATACTCATAGTCTGTAATTAAAATCTGTAACAGTTTGACATGAACTTAAAAGTCTGATCCTAAATACATTGCATGGAATTACATTTGCTTATGCGTTTGATTAGCAATTCAGTCTTAAAAATAACAGTAAAATTAAATCCTTTTGCTCCCGTGGAATGTAATCCCATGTGATTGATTTATTGGCTGAAATCCCATTACGCAGTTATGCAGAGTAATTTTTAGAAGTACATTACCACAAGTTAAGAAGTCTCTGTAGATGTTATTTATTATAAGTAAGTAGCAATGTCTATAAAGATTTCTTGTGTCATCTCGCTTCCAAAAGTTATGACATGAGTGTAAGTGCATGACAGGATTTTAGCCATTATTTTGCAGTCCCAAACCTAACTAGTAATGTCACTAGTCACCATTAACTTAGATAGAAGCATTTTAAAAATGTCACTTTGAGGGTATAAAAAATAAAGGTTCTTCGGAACTGCTCAAGGGTGTACGTCTCCGGCTGCAGAGCCTAATGTTGGGTGTTCAATTTGCCTTGGTGTCTCCTTGACAGGGGCTGGACTCTATGATCAACTGAGCTATAAAAATCAGGAAGGATAAGATGAGAGTGAAAAGCAGGATGATCAACAGCTCTGCAGAGATGTCAGCTCCATAAAAACCCCTCTTTCAGGACACACTTGACATTTGGCTTCTTTTTTCTTTCTTTCTTTGTTGATTGATAGAATAGCTTTGTAACTAACAAGTCTGTTTTCTTCCTCCTCCATCTCAATTCTTTTCCTTTTCTATTACATCTTTTCAATAGTAAGATGACAATACTAGAATTGTTTTAGTATTTATCTTTGTAAGATACTCAGGAGCCATTTTGGATAAAAATATTTGAGGCCATGTGTGCGTCTCTCTCTCTCTCTCTCTCTCTCTCTCTCTCTCTCTGTGTGTGTGTGTGTGTGTGTGTGTGTGTGTGTGTGTGTGTGTGTGTGCTGGTGATTTTCTTCTTCTGATCCTTGTCTGCCTTATACAGGGAGCCGTGGAAATGTGAGTAGGGAGTAGGGTTAACATATTCCTTCCTCAAACAGTTAGAACCAAAACACATGATTGGGCAGCTTTGCAACTGGAAGTTATAACATGCTAATTCCTCCACTAGAGGCACATCTTCAAAGCTGCCAGATTTGCAAAATCAACATGCACACAGCACCTCTTGTTTCTTCCCAATGATAAATTGCAGGCTTGGAAATTAATCACAGATATTTTGCTGCTTCAGTTGCAAAGGTGTCCATTTTTCTATTTTGGGCTTTAAGCTATAGGATTTAATAAGGGAAGAGACTCAGACAGACAGGGAGAAAGAGAGATGGGTGACATTTGGATGGTCTTTCTCATCTAAGTTTCATAATGACTCATTGTGCCATTTATGTATCAGAGATGGATGAGAAGTTTAGCATGTTTACTACAACCATCATACTTAACAAGAGAGAGAGAGAGAGAGAGAGAGAGAGAGAGATCAAAATAAGCACAGTGAGTTTTCCTGAAGAAATTTAATTGACAAGCACAGAGGGATAACTGGTAGCACTGTTTTAATCAAGCCCTGAGCGATTTTGTGCAGGTGAATGTTACAGGAGACATAAAATCAGAAATTTAAATCTAAGGAAGGGCTGATAGGGAGTTTGAGTGTTATATTCCTTCTAGTTTTCTTGGTTCTGTAACACAGTCTCAAGTGAAGGACTGCACCTCATCAGCAGGACATCTGCTTTGCATGCCACGTCTCTCAGGCTCAGTGCCTGGAACCTCCAATGGGACTGAAAGATTTCTCTCTGAAATTCTGGAGAGTTGCTGCCAGTGTTGACAGACCAGGACTAGATGGACCCATAATTTGACTCAGTATAGGGTAGCTTCCTATTATTATTATTATTAGGGTAGAGCCCTGATAAAATTCCTTGATCCTCTTGACCTAGGGACGTGGTTAAAAAGGGAATGATGAAGAGCTGCTCATTATTTTATTGTTGTTGTTGTTGTTGTTGTTGTTGTTGTTGTTGTTATTGTTGTTATTGTTGTTATTGTTGTTATTGTTGTTATTGTTGTTATTGTTGTTGTTTTGTTTTGTTTTGTTTTGTTTTGTTTTGTTTTGTTTTGTTTTAATAGTTCCAGAAGTTCATTCTCTTACTGCCAAATAAGCTTCCAGAATGTGGACCAGACACTTTCCCATTATGGTTAACACTGGGTGAAACAGAAAGATACATTTATCTTTTGGGGTTTTGCATAAGTGCTCTCAAAGTAGTGAAAAAGCATCTTTTTGGCATAGCACAACATTTCCCTTATTTATGTATCTTGTATTTAGTATGCTTTGTTTTCTGATTGGTCATTGAAAGTAAACATGGCCTTAATTTGAAATTCTGATTACTGAATTATGTATCTCAGAGGAAACTCCATCCTGAAAGAGAAAGACAATTAGATAATACAGATTCCTCTTAATGTCTAGTGTCGCTCTCAGTTTAATATAGCACTGGATTTGAAGTTTGTACAATGTTCTGCAGTTCTACTGGACAATGTTTGCAACTCATTGTTATAAAAATGCTACTATGGAACAGAACAGAAAATAGTGGGGTGTTACTTGCCTATGGAAATGTGACAATGTCAGTGAATAAAAGGGACCATATATGATGATGCAGAAACCATGGAATTGTGTATTTGAGCTGTGTTGCCTCAGGGCATTTCAGCCTTTGGAAAAATGTAGACTCCAATCCAAGCTCCACAAGGACTTATGAAAGTTAACAGATATGGCACTGCTGAGTATAGGAGATGCATCCACAGAACCTAGAAACCACTTTTTCTTTCTCTTCCTTAGTCCAAAACTAGAATGTGACCTTATGCTCAAACTTGCATTATTCAAATCACTTCTAAGGTTTGCTGGTTAGTTGAAAAGTCTTCTAATACAAACAGTGTCATACTCACCTTTCCCAAGCTTCCTATACTTGCAATTGCCTTTATGTCTGATGGTCTCAGAGTGTGAACTGTAGAGACAAAACGTGGACTGTGGGTTACTAGTATGACAACTTCTCAAAAGCCTCTTTGCATGAATCAAAGTAGAGATAATAGAGAAGAAGTGACCGTTAATATTTAACATTTGTATCAGTTTATTCTTAAAGGTTTTTCTTAAAGAGTTTTCATAGACGTGTAAGATCTTTAGCATTTCATTTTATGATCTCACATTTCATAGCTGTGTGTGTGTGCATTTGTTCTAGCATAGATGCTTATAGATAGCAAAGATGTTCCCTCACTCCCTTTCACCATCCACAGTGCTATCTACAGAAAAACTTTCTTTCTTTCTTTCTTTCTTTCTTTCTTTCTTTCTTTCTTTCTTTCTTTCTTTCTTTCTTTCTTTCTTTCTTTCTTTCTTTCTTTCTTCATAAAATGACCCAAGGGAGCTTACATCATTTAAAAAGGTAACTAAAAACAATAAATATTTAAAAAGAATTAAATAAGCACCATGTGTAAAATGTTAAATAAAAGCATTATTAAAAACAGATTAAAAATAGACAAAATACTAACCAATTTAAAAACCTCTCTTAGACAGCTAGTCAGTCATGGAAAGCTTGCTGAAGAGAAAGGTCTTCACCTGTTTGTGGAAGTACAGCCTAGCTTCCCAAGGGAGGGAGTTCCCGAGTTTGGGATCAGCAAGAGAGAAGCCTCTCTCCTGTGTCCCCACTAAACACACCTTCAAGGCCTCTCTGATGATATCAGCAATAGGTAGGCACATAGAGGAAGATACGGTCTTTAAGACAGCTTGGATCCAAGCTGTTTAGGCTTTATAGGTTAAAACCAGGACTTTAAATTGTCCCTGCATATCCTTGTATTGCCTATATAATAATAAAGTATAAGCTGTCAAATCAATTTCAACTTATTATGACTCTCCCAAGGTTTTTTGACATACACAGGATTCAAAAGTTGTATAACAGTCCCATATTCTGATGGAGTTCAAGAACCATGCATCTTGTCCACGTTTGCAAGATCTGAGCAGGCTGTTAATGATAGGAGTTTTTCGAGGTCATTAATTTATATGGTCACCATAAGCTGGAAGTCTTGTCATGTTACTTAACAACAATATGTCTCTGAACTATTTCATTACAACGGATTCTCCAAAAACTGTTGAATAGCAAAATCTCATTATTTTTCATTCTCAAATTCTCTAACTGAGATGCTTGTAGAATAATATTTTTTCCTATATGGCTTGTGTCAAACTTGAAGAGAGATTGTTGTCTCCTCAACTAAGCATTCCTTTTGCTTTAAAAATGTATTCAAATACAAATACCTGAAGATGAGACAGAGTGAGAAAACATTTGTGTGTTGCAGGAATCCGGAAAATCCGTCAGAGTCTAAAACAAGAAACATTTTAAAAAACAATTTAGAATGGCTAAAGGGTACACAACAGAGTAATAAGATTGGATATGGATGAACAACCTAAGACTGCTAACAGGACCACCTCCTCTTCCTAGGAAAATTTCCAAAAAAACCTCATTACTGAAACATTTCAGATTGGCTAAAATGTATATGTCAGCAACACAGCCATGCACTCTCTACAGGATGACCTTGAGTTAGTCATACTCTTTCTGCCTGATTTACCTCATAAATGTGGTGAGGATAATGTGGAGATAAAAGAAAGCCAAATAAGCTGCCCTGAGATGATTGGAAGGAGCATGGGACAATTACAAAATAAGTAAGCAAGTAAATCAATGTCAAATATTGATGTTATTCTGGGGAGGAAAGGACATTATTCAGTAAATTTCTCTCTCCAGCTTCCTTTCCCCCTCATTCAGGGCTTCCCAAGTCTCTCACAAGTCCTGTATCTATTTTACTGACTTTTGAGCAAGGTTGACAGAATTCACATCTTCATATATGTCCCACTCTAACACCTAATGGCCTCTATTAACATGATCAAAGGTCAAGGATAATGGGAATCAAAGTCCAGAATATCTGGGGCTGGATTCAGAGGAAAGTGGATGGATTTTGGCTGATGAAACTCCCTACCCTCTCTTCCCCATAGCACCTCCTGCAGGGCCCTGAAAATGCTACATGGAGGGTCAAGGTGCCAAATGAATGAAGTGAGCTGTCTTGCAGAGGAGAGGAAGAATCCCTAATAACTGGGTGAAAGACACCTTCTTTAAGCAGAGTTCTTCCATGAGCAGAAGATAGGTTCTGTATCCAGTCCCTGGAGAGACCTAACTTCTTCTAATCCTTGCTTTAAAAAGTTACATTGCCTTAGACATTTCTCTAAAGATAGTGGAAGAAAACCAGATGACAACTCTCTCACCCAAGCATGAGAAGATAATTATTTTACCCAGGGGTGGCAAACCTGTGATACTGCAGATGTTTCTGGAATTGCAGTGATCATGAGTCCCAGACAGCATGGCCAGATACTAGAGATAATTGTAGTCATTGGTATTTATTTATTTATTTATTTATTTATTTATTTATTCATTCATTCATTCATTCATTCATTCATTCATTCATTCATTCATTCATTCATTCAATTTTTACCCTGCCCCTCTAGACAATGTCTACTCGTTGAATTGTCTTCCCCTCTGGGCTTTGAGACCTCTAGAGTATGGGGTTGGTATTCACGGATTAGTGCTGGTGACAAGGATAAGCCTTCTCCTACATATCAAGATTTGACATTGTAGTCACAAGGACAATCCTAGTGCTACACAGAGTCAGACTATCAGCTCAGGAAGCCGATCTGGAGTGGGTGAATATTTGGTAGTGGTGATGGTAAGGAATAAAAGGGAGATGTTGAAAGACACAGTTGTATGTGCCACATGATGCAGTGTACAAGCTCTAAATTAGCTTCCTGTGTTCATGTGTGGTAGCAGGTGCTGCCAAAATAAAATTCCATTAGCAATTCAATCAACTTCTGTAAGTGGAATGAAGGTTGGAGGCACCATCTTGTCCTCTACAACAGGTGGCAAAGTATCTTAGGGCAGCATCATTTCTCCCTCAGAAAAGACCAGACAACACCAATGGGAGATGGCAAGGCCTATGGGGTTCTAAGGGCAGAGATACTGCTACAGAGCTTCCCTCCTTCTTTTGAGTCGTACAGACTTGGTATGATAGTTCTGAAGAGGCTTACTGTCCTAGCAAGAGAAGCTACTGTCCTTTTAGAATTAGACGCAATTGGTGCAAGGCCACTGAGGCCAAGACATTTTGCCTCCTGAGGCTGAACAGCAAATTAAATCCATCCAAGCTGAGGTGAATGCAGCTGAAAGCCACCCATTGTTTGCATAACCATTTTTCTTCTGGCCTGGTAACAGAAATAAAATTATTCTGAATTAAATAATGAATAGTTTGTTGCCAGAGCAATATCCAAAATGTTTCACTGGTGGTCTCAGGAAACTATCTCACTTTGCCTAATTATAGGGCTGGCCTTAAGTTAGTGCTGGATTTTAGTTCCCACAGAGAGTAAGTTAAAAAGAAATAGGAAAGCTCTATAAACCTGAAGAACACAAGCATCTGTCTCTTTTACTGTACAACTTGTAGAACAAAATGTACACACCTTCTGCTCCATTTCCTCCTTCACATTCTTCTTAGATATTGGAACATAAACTGCAGTTACTTTAAGAAAACAAAAAGTTTGTGTTATTTCTTTGCATGCCTCCCTCCACTCTTTCATCTATGATTATTCTTTACTGTTGCTTTATATCTGTAAATTAAGTTGGTTCCTCATTATTGTCAGAAGTGGCTTTAATCACTGGATGTAAATAACCTTGCACAGCATCAAAACTTGGTAGATCAACTTTTTGATAATAGCCCCTAGAACCCACCCGTCAGAATCAAGTGACATGTTGACGGCAGGTGGAATCTGGAAGGTGTCGTCCAAAATGGGACTCTTCCAACCTTGGGCAGAGAAACAGTAGCCAAAGAACCTTTAATACTGCCAAAAGGAGAGAGATGAGCATATACCGGCAGCCGACCTTTAAGACTTCGATCCTATACATACACTTGCCAAGGAGAAAGCCCACTGCAGCTTACTTTTGGGTAGATGGCATCTTAAATACATCCTATAAGAAAGAGCAGCAGAGCCATCTGTCCAAGTCAAGTGGGAGAGGTATCATCTGGGCCTTCCTGTGAGTACAGAAAGTCCAGGAGGTGACAAGAAACCAGCAAACAAATATTAACTTTAGTAGTTCAGAACCCTGTCAAATGAGACCGCACACTTAAGAACAACAGTAGTCCTAATCACTGGACTGTTTTTTCAAGGCCAAATAGATAAGATCTATTTATAAACAATGAGAGCCTATTGAGAAAACATTTGGCATTAAATAGTTCCTTTTTTTCTCTCTCCCTCTTTTTCTACTGTGCCATGTCTTCTTAGATTGCAAGCTGGCCACTAACAGCAGTTTTTATTGGACTTCGTATATGGAATTTAGGGATGCAGAACTTCTAAACTTTGAACAAGAGATGGAAATTTGTCTACATAAAAACGTTATAGTTGTAGACTTCTGCAAATCTGTTGTTGAGGTTTTAACAGCAAAAGCATTATGACGCTTAAGTTATACCCACCCTAAAGACTTCAGCAATCATTTGTTCTCTTACTAGAGAACTTCAGGGACTGTAGTTATGTGAGGATTAAAAATCTCTCATCCTCAGCAGTTTGTCAAAGGATCCTTTGAAGAAATGCCAAAATGCTAAAACGGGGCATAAAACCTGTCAGCTAGTAATATAGACATAGGGTTTTGCCACAGAAGAAGGCAACTAGCAGCAAGTGCTCCCACTGCTTGATGATAAAATAAAAACTAGTCTTTTTAAAGCAATGCTGAGTGTGATTATTGGACTATTTAATGTGTGCAATGCTCATTGACTTGAATATTTCTGCCTTTTGTAGCCGATGGTAACAAATAGTCCAAAATCTTGATAAAGCCAAGCAACTGTCAGCAATCTGGTCCAACCAACCAACCACCCACTATGCTTTCTTCCCAACAAAAAGCACAAACATGCACACTTCTGTGTCATGGAACTCTAGGCTCAAATCCAATTAGTCCCAGGTTAGCATAAACCTACTGAATCAATGGAACCTAAAGAAGTATTGACTTGCTATGTTTCCATTGATTCAGTCAGTCCGCTCAAGTTGAGAACCAGGAACTGGATGTAGGCTTCGGTACTTCAGTGGGCTACAGCAGAGCTGGCCTAAGATGCTTTGGAAATGGAGGGGGCGAAAGAGTAAGTCCCCACCACACATAGCTTCCACATACAGAAACAAACTGGACTGCTAATTGCATCTGGATTCAAAACCATGATGGAACTATATATTCCATGGCATACAAGGAGATCAAGCTCACTTTGGTAGTAACGAATACACTGTATCGCAGTAACTGCTGCCTCCCAATCACCCAGCATCTAACAGATAAGTTGGAGGGACTACTATGCACAATAGTAACGGCAGCCCTGGCATTCAGCATTATTCGTTATTTCCTAGTCCCAGAAATTTTTGCTCCTTCTCATGATCAACCACCTGAGATTTGAGTGAGAGATTATACTTCAGGATGTACCTGGAAAGCATTCAGGATGAGGACCTTACCTAAGAAAAAGGACAGCCAGAGAAAGATCAGCAGCCTTTTCATGCTTGGCGCATTTATGAATGAGCCGTTCCACTCCAGGTAAGATGTTCGTTTTGCTTCACAGAGACCCGTATGGAGTTTTTTTTAAAGTCTCTGTCTTGATGGCTTTTTATATCTTTGTGAGCAGATAACTCAGCTGTCATAAATTTTATTGGCCTTTTCTGCCTTTGAAAATGCAGCCTTTAGAAGCAAAATGATAAAATATTAACATTTCAATGCCATTGCTTAAAAAGACAAGTGTCATGTACTGTATTTCACACATCATTACCTCCTGTAAAGAGTGAATAGGAGAAGTTGCCCTTTAAGTACAGACATCCTGCTTTGCACATTCCCATTTTTAAAATGTTTTTTTGTCTTGGAAAAAATAGTTTCTGTACCATTACATTTAAGCAGATATACTGCGTCAGTTACATGCTTTTCATTGCATCTGCTAGCAGACTTCTGCTGTATGATGCCAGGCTGTTATATCACCAAGCATTACACTTAAATATACCACCAGAAGTTAAAAGAAAGAGGAAACCTATGCACTATTTGTAATTACTAAGCAATAAGTTCTGTAGTTTTGGAGCAGCCATTCTATTTCATTTTATTTCAGCGACATGGAGAGGGGGGATTTGCTGCTTGGGTAACAGCCTATCCTCCATATCATCTTACCCAGGCTTTGTGCTCTAGGGAGGACACTCCAGCTTTGCATACAGCATCGAAACAACACAGGAAGTAGCAGTTACCGGTTATAAGTCTTTGCTCGTAGAGCATGACGCCGGATGCTGCCTCGCTATGGTCTGTTAACCTCATGGGTTGTGTGGGGTTGAGGGTGAAAGCCAACAGGCAGATCAATAACTGTGCACCATGCAACAGTCATAAGAAAACTTCTACCCTAAAGCTGGGCACCTAGAATGTAAGGACAATGACTCCTGGCTTTTCTGACTACGGCTTTCCTGACAACCTGCAAGAAATAGACAATGTGCGTAAGACAGCTGTCAATGACATAGAACTGAGTAGACTGCAGATGGACATTGTTGCCCTGCAAGAGATGAGATTGCCAGACTCGGGATCTGTCAAAGAAAAAAAACTTCTCATTCTTCTGGCAGGGAATTAAATGAGACCAGGGAACATGGTGTTGGCTTTGCAGTCACATCTCTGCTGATATCCATTGTTCCACCTACTGTGGGGAGTGAAAGAATCCTGTCTCTGCAGCTCCACTCATCAGC